CTCCACCCTAAAAGCGATGGCCTCCACCCTAAGAGCGATGGCCTCCACCCTAAGAACGATGGCCTCCAGTCTAAGAGCGATGGCCTCCAACCTAAGAGCGATGGCATCCAACCTAAGAGCGATGGCCTCCAGTCTAAGAGCGATGGCCTCCACCCGAAGAGCGATGGCCTCCAGTCTAAGAGCGATGGCCTCCACCCTAAGAGCGATGGCCTCCACCCTAAGAGCGATGGCCTCCACCCTAAGAACGATGGCCTCCACCCTAAGAGCGATGGCCTTCAGTCTAAGAGCGATGGCCTCCAGTCTAAGAGCGATGGCCTCCAACCTAAGAGCGATGGCCTCCACCCTGAGAGCGATGGCCTCCAGTCTAAGAGCGAAGGCCTCAAACATACTAATGAGCGATGGCCTCCAACCTACTAGCAATGGCCTCCAACCTACTAGCGATGGCCTCCACCCTAAGAGCGATGGCCTCCACCCTAAGAGCGATGGCCTCCAGTCTAAGAGCGATGGCCTCCAACCTAAGAGCGATGGCATCCAACCTAAGAGCGATGGCCTCCAGTCTAAGAGCGATGGCCTCCACCCGAAGAGCGATGGCCTCCAGTCTAAGAGCGATGGCCTCCAACCTAAGAGCGATGGCCTCCACCCTAAGAGCGATGGCCTCCAGTCTAAGAGCGATGGCCTCCACCCTAAGAGCGATGGCCTCCACCCTAAGAGCGATGGCCTCCACCCTAATAGCGATGGCCTCCATTGCCCACATTACGATCATGCAAGTCTCTGGGTTTGCTTGGACAATCCGCCACTCCATCCTGGAGATACTGCAGGTGATTTGTTCCCAGCTTCAAGGAGAAAGCAGGCAAACTTGCTGCTGTCTAGCTACTAGCTGGTGCAGCTGTAAGCTAGGGGCGCCAAATGTTAAATAAGGTCGACCCCAAACCACAGGTTCCATCTGGCCCATTACATGTGCTGCGTTCCTACCGGTCGACTCGTACCGTTCCATCGTCGTCTCTTCGTCTTCCCGCGTCCTGCGTGATGACTTCTTCGAACTCGACGGCCCAGCGGTCTTCGAGCTGGAAGAGCCAACGTCGGAAGGCTTCCCTGCGAGGCTTCCCGAGTGGTTCAGAGCAGGTTGCTCTCCATGAAGAGCAGGTTGCTCTGCTGTGCTTACAATGAAGAAGTGCTGTTGAGGTTGTCAAGTGCAACCCCCTTCAAGGCCTTCGAGGTGTTTCGCTCGTTTTGCTCCTTGTACTTGATCAAGTAGATGCATATTTCACGAACAGGGCGACTAGTTCACGAACACAGGAACTTCTTTGCCCCTAGGAACTGGACGGATAGCTCACACTCGCAGCACCCGCACTAATGATTTGGTTCCGAAGCTACTAGTAACAAGTGCATCGCTTCTAGTAACAAGTGCCTTACTAGTAGTAACAAGTGCCACGCTACTAGGGGCTCCTGGCCTTACTACTAGGAGCAAGTACGCTCCTAGGAACTGACGGAGAAAGGACACTTAACTTATTTGCACATCTGGCATCGAACCGCTCATGGCTAGAGTCTCCTGCCCTTCTGTCAGTCCATGCATAACCATGGTCACCTCTCTTTTGGTCAAAAGTACAAACGACGGTATCGTGATGAAGACCTTCAAAGCTTTCGGCAACCCTTAGAGGATCTTGTCCTATCCAGCAATCTAGGGGCATCTCGGGTGGTCTCAAGCTCTTCCATCTCCCGAACTTCAGAGCTAATCTCAAAGAAAATGAGACTTTAACGTTTGGTGTGTGCGGTCAGTGACCGAAGGCCAGAAGGCAAAAAGAAGAAGTTGAATGGTACTCTGTGGTACACCCTGAGATCAGTTGCTTGGACCCTTGGCTTCATCGGACCACCTTAGAGCAGCCGCGGCCATGCTTTCGGGCGGCTGGTCAAAGCAAACACCAGCGTAGGCCTCGGATGGGAAGAGTGACCGCAAAGTTAAATGATGTCTGTATTTGTTGCGATGTCTAGGGCCTTGCTTCCAAGTACCGCAAACTGCAATGAGATTGCTATACGATAAAGAGTTTTTTAATACCAATGTGTTAACAATAATGCGTTGGGACGCGGCATGACTAGTAGTAATGGCCTCCACCCTAGTAACGATGGCTTCCAACCTAGTAGCGATGGCCTCCAAGCTAATAGCGTCTAGCTACTAGTAGTTTCTTGTTACTAGTAGGTAATGACCCCTTTTAATGGACCAAAGACCTGAACCGATCCCTTTTCGCACAGAAAGCGTCCCCAAAAGCGTTTTGATCTCACCTTCCAGAAAGCTGCATCGTTCCAAAGGCAATTTCCTCGGGGGTGCGAGTGGGATAGGAAAGAAGGAGGAATTCAAATTGTAGATAAATGTAGATTCTCACATCTGCGAACTACTACACCAAGAAAGGCCAACTACAGCTGCGATGGCTGAGGCTCTCATTTGCAAGCAAGCAGGAGCCATGTGCCCCACGCAAGCCACCTCCACAAATAAGAACATGTACGCTCTAAGCTCCTGAGGCTCGTCGGGACCATATTTGAGCTAATCAAGTCGGTCACAACATGAAGTCAGAGGTCACTTGCGTGAAGATTGTATTTGGAGAAACTATTGTAAATGAGTCCTCTTGTAGCTGCATGACCATCGTCACCAATGTCGCTTGATGTAAGCCTCGAGATTCAAAAAAGGCATGGATACGATATAGTTCTGGGTCATCTGATCTGAGCTTCACACTGGAACGAAGGTCAGCAACCTCAATTCACCAAAACACCACAACGAAAGCATGACACTTGGCCACACAAACAAGGTCACGCCCGCTGCAACGGCCCCGCGCGATTTGCGCGTTCTCACATGCATCTTCGAGTCGTTTTTCACAACCCCTCTGGCACTTTATGGTGATGCATTTTTTAGTTCAATATCATTTTGAATGCGTTTTTACACCACAAAACGCCTCTCAAATCGTAACTCCATTGTGAAATGACAGTGCGTTCGGGGACCCGGAAGTAAAAAAACGGATCTTGATCGTTTCTCTTTTTTCATGAAACCTGTATTAACACACTTCCACTCCCTCAGGCGTGCCACTCCTTTTCACGGGCTCTACTCCTTCTGTCCCATCTGACCCAACTTCTGCAGTTGGTGCTTAGACGGTGTATTACGGCGCCACACAAAGCTATACATATATTCTTGGATCTGTGCATTCAACCCGCCGTTGGATCGTTTTTTGGATGCCAACTCTTTCGGGATACACTTCTTCAGGGATGACCATTTGCGGTCAATACATTGGGTGCCATGCTTCACTGCAGTTGGTGCATTCATTCTAATTAAATGATGGGTTATCACGGGTCAGACCTTGCTTAACCACCACTGGGAATATCAACTTGGTTTGCTAGTGCAAGCGAACGTTAACACCCCCCCCATCCCCAACGTAGTATCAACTTGGTTTGCAGGTGCAAGCGAACGTTAACAAACCCCACCCCATCCCCAACGTAGCATCAACTTGGTTTGCCAGTGCAAGCGAACGTCAACACACCCCCCATCCCCAACGTAGTATCAACTTGGTAGCATCAACTTGGTTTGCAAGTGCAAGCGAACGTTAACAGACCCCGCCCCAGCCCCATCCCATCCCCACCGTAGCATCAACTTGGTTTGCAGGTGCAAGCGAACGTTAACAGACCCCACCCCATCCCCACCCCACCCCACTCCCAACGTAGCACCAACTTGGTTTGCAAGTGCAAGCGAACGTTAACAGACCCCAACCCATCCCCACCCCATCCCCAACGTAGCATCAACATGGTTTGCAAGTGCAAGCGAACGTTAACAGACCCCACCCCACCCCATCCCCAGCGTAGTATCAACTTGGTTAATGGCGAAAACGTGGAAATTCTCCGGGGCCGTTAGGGGGGGCGTGAGCACAAACAAATATCATCGAATATCATCCTGACTCATGTTTTGGTAGAAACAAAAAATGCGCACCTGGCAAGCCATGGCTTACAAACACCAGTGGAGCATCAGATCATTTGTTTGGTTGGAATTGGTGAGATTGTCTTTTGCTGGCTTGCGGGCTCCTGAGCCTCAACTACTCATGCCGCCTGAAGGTGTTCCGTCAAAAAACCTTTTCCAAGTGATTGACACTTCTGGCGTAGGGGCCGTAGGGTGATCGATTTGACCGTGCTGATTTGATACATATTTGACATATTAAGTATGTTCTCAAAAAGAACTCAACCGAGTCAATCTGAACGCTTCTCTCCAAGTCAGGTCTCATTCAGTGTGTAGATTCTTTGGCAGGTTGTGCGGACAACCAAACGTTTAAAACATGTTGAAACTCTAGGTCACCCGGTACAAGTTTTGTTACCGCAAGCTGTTACGCCCTGAACATATAATTCCGCCAACACTGGAGCAGGAAGGAGCAGGCAATCTCAACAATGAAGTTTGTCCCTCCCTGTTCTCTTCTTGCATGCACGGTGAAACTGGGGAACATGATGGTGTTTGTCCATTCAAACAGCCAAGAACAATAACAAACCTTCAACAAAAGACATTGATCTGCCTTTTGTCCTTTTGCTCCCAGATCCATCGATGCCATTCCGAAGCCACAGGGGAGCGGCCATTCTTTTGGTGATAAATCTGTGTCGGATTGACATGGTTTCAGGACGGAGGTGACAAGAAACTCGGCTTCCAAGAGAGAGCTCTTGCAAAAAACAAAAACCTTTTTGGACCCTTTCTCAAGAAATCCTGAGCCCGCGTGCAAGGCTGAACTGTTGGCACACTTGAACGTTGGCAACTTCAAATTGGCCAGCACTATCAAATGGCCAAGTTCGAACCCGGCAAGGTTCGGTATGGAAGCATTATCCTAGCAAACTCTCAGCTTTTGCGGAGATACCAAATACATCCAAAACTAGTCGAAGGTCTCCGCTGCTCACGCCTAGAAACTCCTTCACAGTGTCATATATCAAGAACTGAGCACAAATGGCAGCTGCAAAATAGACACAGCGAGCTCCAAGTCCTTTCCAGAGATCCAGACTGCCCAGAGATGCACGACCTGCATCTTTGATGTTTCCACTGGAAGAGATCTGAGTGATTACAACATCTGCAGGATTGGATACAATCGCCGACATCAAGCCGGCCAGAGCACCGGCCAAGGCCGAGATACCCAACGATGTCTCTGCTTGTGGAGCAAAGACCGCGAAGAGCGCACGGGAAGCCAAATCGAAGACCAGGAATTTACAGGCCGAAAAGGGAATTTCTCGTGCCCAGAACGGAACGAGACCTGCCCAAAGGCTTGGAAGTCCTCGTCCGTCCCTTCCCTCAATTGCTTCCTTGGTGATCTCTCCAAAGGAGCGGCGCTCAGAGGGGGCCATGACCCGGACGCGCAGCGTTTCGAAAGGACACGCGAGGATGGAAGCCACAAAGATCGAGCCAATGGATGCAGCCAGGACAATGGGTGCAGTGGCTTCGGCATATGGATCTCTCCATTTCTCCAAGCTCCGGCGGAAGAACTCATTGAGACCAAAGCTGGTAAAGCCCATGACGCTGGTGGCCAAGATCGTGGCCCCTGTTCCTTTGTACAGGGCCCCAAGACCACCATCTCTGCTCAAGAGTGATGCTGTAGATAAGAAGCTGTCGAAAACACCTCCCTGTTCTTCTTCGCGCGTTTCCGTACTGAGCTGCTGGGTGATCTTCACCACATCCAAGGGTTGCAGAACTGCCCGGACAACGGCACTGCACACGGCGCCGGAAAATGCGAGGCGTGCATATTGCGAGAGGTCCAGCGCACGGGCGCGAGCCACTGGAGAGCGGCCTAAGGATACTAGTAGCGTCCGATTGCTCCTAGTAGCGATGCCCAGGTTACTAAAGTAGTGTCCTTGTTCCCAGTAGTAAGGCCAGGCGCTACTCGTAGCGTCCTTGTTCCTAGAAATGCCAGGAGCTACTAGTAACTACTAGTAGCATCCTTAGCGATGCCCTTTGCTCCGCTCGTAAGCTTCTTGCTGGAAAGCGGCCTAAGGATCCAAAGAGAGGATCTAAACTCGCTGGACGATCAAACTCTGGAAGTTCCGACGCTGCGAAGCTTCCAACTCCAAACCCTTCGCCGCCATCCAAGTTCACTTCCAATGAACTCAGCGCGGCGGCCGCCAAGAGTGCAGCTTGGCTCGGCCGGTAGTAAAAGTTGGTCTCGTTTTGAACCAGTTCCTTGGACGTTCTTTAGAACCTCCCCCCAGCCTCTGTGAGTCATCTCAAAAAGCAGTTCATGTCATTCCATAGTTTATGGAGATCGAATCATCAAACCACACAGGATCAGCCACAAGAACTGTTACGGTCAGAGTACCCAGAGTACTCGGTTCCTCCCAATCGATCGCCCCCGTTCACCCCAGATTCCCTTCAATTGACCACACGACAAGGCCTTCCTGGTAACTGTTGGTCCCAAATCTACCACTACCCCTACCCCACCCCTGCAGTTTAGGGGATGAGCTAGCAGCTAAGGTGTGGACCGCTAAAGCAAAACAATCTGCCAGTACTTGATCAGCCTTGCTTCTGGCATGCAAAGTCCATCAGGGATCAGTTGAGCCAGGCGATCTGCCAAAGGCTTGTTGCGGAGACGCTGCAGCTCTGCATCCGTGGCGGCCGCTGCTTCGGTGAGATCGACAATGTCCACGAAATCTACAGCAGCAGTAAAATCCTCAATCAATCTCTCAATCATGTCTGCAGGCTGCAACTCAGGTGGCAATAAGGACAAAGCAAATGCCAACTGTCTCTTGGCCGCCACATTATCACGACAAAGGCCTCTCAACGCCTTGGCAAGGCTCAACAAACCGGCTGCATCATTGCCATACGCGCCCAGAATGCCCAAATCCACCGCCGCGGCCAAGGCGGCAAACTGCGCCCGCCGCGCTTCGGCGCCGGTCCGACGGGGGGCCGAGCTCTCCCAGACCTGGGCCGACTTCGCGTCGTAATTGATGAGGACGCGCGTCAAATACGTGACGAAGGCCCTCGGCAGCGGTGCAGATCGTTGGGGTTTCTTCTGACTCAACTGCTCCAATTCTTTGGCTCGTCGCTTCAGAACACTGGCTGTGGTCCAAACCTCCCCAAGCTTGTCTGTCTCCGTATAATCTTCTTTCACCCCTGCCGCACTGAAAGCAGGCAGAAGTAGCGCTGAGGTCAGCGACTGCAGGAGGTCTCGTCGGCGAGTTGCACCGAGCTCCGTCGGCACAAAGCTCCAAGTAGCACCGAGCACCGCCAGGGTCAACACGCGCACGGCGGAGTGTACACGCGGAGTGCGCAGTGTGGCCCGCGCAAGGTGCTTTCTTTGCGCACCGCGCATGGCATCCCGGATGCTCTTGGGAAATCAGCGATGATGGCTACGGCTATGGAATTTAGTTGTGGCATGAATGATATGAATGGTCTATACTGTTTAAAGTGGTGTATCGTCATTGGCTCATGAGCTGAGTGAATTGAGGAGCAGTTCTATTGCTTTCAGGAATGGACACTTGATTGCTTTGGAAGGGCACCTGAATCCTTCAGAATCTGACTAGTGACCAGTGATCCAAGACGGCTTGCAACAACGCACTCGTCCCAAAGGTCCTCCAACACATGAGGTCAAGAATGCTACTAGTAGTGATGCCAGGAGCCCCTAGTAGCATCCCTGCTCCTAGTAGTAAGGCCAAAGGCCAGGAGCTACTAGTAGCTTCTGGCTCCTAGTAGTAAGGCCAGGAGCTATGTTCGTAGCCTCTTGCTCCTAGTAAGGCCAGGAGCTACGATCGTAGCTTCTTGCTCCTAGTAGCAAGGCCAGGAGCCCTTAGTAGCGTCCTTGCTCCTAGTAGTAAGGCCGGGAGCTACTAGTAGTTTCTTGCTCCTAGTAGTAAGGCCAGGAGCCCGTAGTAGCGTCCTTGCTCCTATTAGTAAGGCCAGGAGCTGCTAGTAGCGTCTTGCTCCTAGCAGTAAGGCCAGGAGCCCCTAGTAGTGTCCTTGCTCCTAGTAGTAAGGCCAGGAGCTACTAGTAGCGTCTTGCTCCTTGCAGTAAGGCCAGGAGCCCTAGTAGCGTCCTTGCTCCTGGTAGTATGGCCAGGAGCTACTAGTAGCTTCTTGCTCCTAGTAGTATGGCCAGGAGCTACTAGTAACTTAGTAGCTTCTTGCTCCTTGTAGTAAGGCCAGGAGCCCCTGGTGGCGTCCTTGCTCCTAGTAGTAAGGCCAGGAGCTACGTTCGTAGCTTCTTGCTCCTAGTAGTAAGGCCAGGAGCCCCTAGTAGCGTCCTTGCTCCTAGTAGTAAGGCCAGGAGCTACGTTCGTAGCTTCTTGCTCCTAGTAGCTTTAGGAAGCTCTATGCCACTTGCCAGCACCTCTCCACTTTTCCACACGACAGGCTTTTGCTGATCACCTTCATGACGAAGGGCTAGAATCTTTTGTAGCATCAACTATTGAAATGTCCGTCAACCTGGCCAACTCTGTTTCTCCCAAAACCTGGTACTCTGCAACCAAATGGTTCACACTGAGAACCTCTAGTCTATCAGAGTGTTTCCGAACCAAACTACAGCGGCCTACAAGTTGGCATCCTTCCATTCCATGAACGCTTCCATCTCCGCGACCGCTTCTGGGCTTAGCTTCCGTCCAAAGACCTGTTAGAACATGGTGTGGCAGTTTTGTCCATGTTCGATAGGGTTTTCGGCAATCGGCAATGTATTATAATGATGTATATAATGTTAAGGATCTCACTCTTTGAGCTCTGACGAGCCGACTCCTGTCAGCCTCTATCGTGAGCAGTCGCAAGCAGTAATCTTGACACTTCCTGCCTCGTGTGCAACCTTGAGCTGATGCAGAATGAGAATCCCCTCTGGCATATGCATCAGATACTTCTCCTCAGAACTGTTGCAGAAAATGCATAATCACTTTTTAAACGATGCAACTCATCCTTGAAGTTGGGCTCTGCAAAAGGCTCAAATCGGTAAAAAAGAAATAGAGAAAAACAAACATGAAAGCATCCATTGCTACTAGGTTGGAGGCCATTGCTACTAGGTTGGAGGCCATTGCTAATGGGTCGGAGGCCATTGCTCTTTAGGTTGGGTGGCAGACTTCTCCAACTCACCCGACTGATCCCACCGCTCCCCACGGAATGTTCAGCTAAGGAGCACAGCACCACCTCATCTCCCAAGGT